CTCCCCGCCACCGCCGCCGCCGCTCCGCCCGCCGTCGCCCGCCGGCGGCGCGGCGCCCGCGACGCGCGCCTTGAGCGCGAACACGCCCTGCCGCAGCCGCACCACTCCCTGGTCGGCGCTGCAGGCGCTGGATATAGCGCTACGCGCCGCCTTCATGTCCGGCCAGCTGGACACCTGGCCGCGACGCTCCATCTCCTCGTAGATCTCCCCGACCGACATGCCGTTTGCATCGGACCTGTCGACCAGAACCTCGAACATCATGCGCTTGGCCGTGCCCGGCTTGATGCGGCGCGCCATTTCCTCGACGCTCTCCACGTCATCGGCCGGCGCGGGCGCGGCGCACTGCTGCTGCTGCTGCTGCTGCTGCTGCTGCTGCTGCTGCGACTGCTGCGGATGCACCAGCTGGTTCTGCACCTGCTGCGGGCCCGCCGCCGCCGCCGCGACCGCGCCGTCGCCGCAGGTCGCGCCCGCGGCCTCGTAGGCCGCAAGCGTCGCCTCGGAGCGCCCCGCTGGCATCGCGCGCGCGAGCTTAGTCACCACCTCCTGCAGGTTGAGGGTCGACCCGCAGATCTGGCGGTGCAGCGCGTCCGGCGCCATCGCGCCCAGCGACGCCAGCGGGCCCGCGACGGGGTGGCCCCGCAGCTCCGTCAGGGCGGCCTGCAGCACGAGGACCTGCTGCAGCGTCGGCGGCGCGGCGCGCGCGGGGCCGGGCGGCGTGATGAGCAGCGATGGGGCCGCCGCTAGGCGCGCTGCTGCGGATCGCGGGTGCTGTTCGCTCGGCGTGGCCACCGCCGTGGGCCCGCCACCGCACGGCGGAGTTGGCCAGATGGCCTTATAGCACGGGGCGCGGGTGTATAAGGGTAACCTATGACCTCTGCAAGCCCCTGGAGACCGCGCCACCCAACAAGGGCCACCGCGCGAGGCACAGACGACTGTCGTGCTTACCTGGCCGCTACTAGGGGCCGAGTCCATTTTTGAGCTCCCTCGCGAAACCTCACAGGGCACAGGGCAAGCTCAGACAAGCTGCCTGCTCTGCATTTCACCGCTTGAAGTTGGGCACTGACACCCCCGAGCCAAGGCGGCTGCGCCTTACGCTTAGCGTTTGGTGAACCTTTCTATCAGATAAAAATGCTCGCATCAGCCGTGATCAAGGCGACACCGATGATCTGCTGCAGTGTGTCTGGTCTATCGCAGAAGGTCGGCCAATCACAATTGATCCGCCATAATGTCATAGGTTTACACACAGCTGCGAGGCAGAACGTTAGCCATACCCGAAAGTGACACTCCCGGGATTGGCACACTATCAGTGTAGCACACGAACCTCAATACCGGTATGTGTATAGTACGCCATGCCACCAACAAAACGATGGTGTTAATATCCAATCCCCATGGCGCGGCGTGAGTGGAATCAGTGCAATGCAGTTCCTCGGTTGTGCCGGTCGCCAAAAACTGCCATGCATGGTGGTCACACCAGGTTGCAGTTCACAGCAGCGGCGGCTGGTTGCATGCACATGGCAGGCCACATGAAGTGGGGTGCAGCAATTGTACTGATTTGATCCATACCTCTGGTTCTGTACCATGAAGCCCCCAAAGTCCTGCAGAGTAAACTGTGGCCCGGTCGCCCTGCACAAGAGGGACGTGGCTTGCAGCTGTGCGACCTCCCCACATCTCAAACTGCCGTCCAGTAGTTCCAAGGAAAAATAGCTGTTCTTGTAGGTGGTTCTCGCATGTCTCGATTGCGTTGCTGGATACACATGGTGGCATTGCGTCCAGCTGCAGGTTATCTGCTGTAGGACCACAGCAATTATTTGCCGTGGGACCACAGCAAACAACGCCCAGCCCTTTGCAGGCGTCAAAAGCTTCCACTGCTCGTGCTGCCAGGCTACTGCACCACTCAAAAAATAGCTCCTTTGCAACAAACATACAGAAAGAAAGGCACGCCTGATACCCTCAACACATCAACACAAATCCTGACTGGCACCGCTGCATAGAAGGGGGCATGCGATTGCAGCGCCCCCCCTTCAACTCATCGCCAGTAGGAGCGCCAGCGACCTGCACCCTTGCCACGTACCACAAACATGCCATTGCCATGAGCACTGCACGCCAACAAGCCTTTCCTCCAATTGGCCTACAGGCCTCGAGGACATGAATGCCGCCTCACAAAGCAAGGGCGGCCGCCGTCAAAGCAATGGCCGTAGCCGAGACCGCCAACCTGAGACTGGTCGGACCGGGCGCCCCAGCGTTGGACGCGACCGCCGCTGCAGGTGCTGCGCCTGTCGGGCTCGACGAGCGGTTTGCAGAGCCGGGTGCGGCGCTCGCAACAACCAAGGCGCCTCCGCCGGCGGCCTGCGAAGCCTGCGTCGTGCCGTCCCCACTGCCGCGCGTCACCGCGTCCGGCGCCGCCTGGCCCCTTTGCGCCGCCACCGCCGGCGCGTCGGCCTGTGCGACAGCAGCGGCCGGCGCGGCAGCTGCAGCCTCGAGGTCCAGCGCCTCAATCCCGGGGCATGTCAGCGCCCCCGACCGGCTGCCGCTGCTGCCGCCGCCGCTGCTGCTGCTGCTCCCGCCGCCGGCCGCCCCCCAGCTGCAGCCCTGAAACTTGACCACCGCCGCGCGATTGAGGTCCCGCACCAGCTGCACTGGCCCAGATGGGGCGGCCGAGGCGGCGGCAGCGGCGGCGCCCTCCTGAGGCGGGAAGAAGTCCAGGAAAAGCACGTTGACGCCCGGCGGCCCCGCCGGCGCGCCGCACGCCTCCGCTGTTTCCCGCAGCGTGGCCGCGAGGTGGCCGTAGTCGTTGGTGGCGTTGGCGAGCAGCGGCAGCTGGCAGGTTGACACATCAACGCCGGGGAGGCACTGTTGGGGGCCGGGAGGTGGGGGTACAGGGAGCGAGCGGGGTGGATTCAACAGGGTGAAATGCTGGTTGCCTCCAAGCTCTGCAGGCGTCACACGTGCGGCTCTGGCACCAGCCCAGCCTCTTCTCACTCGTGGCAGCACAGCAGCACAGGAGTAATGGGTGCAAGGGTGGCCGCCACGTTCAAACAAACTGCTCACCTGCCAGTCGCCCGAGCCGAAGGAGAAGGACCGGAACGGCACGTCTGCGCCGCACCGCGCGCCCTGCGACCCCCACGCGCCGCTCGAGAACCTGGCCAGCAGCTGCCGGGACACCTCGTCGCGCGTCGCGGCCGCGCGGGCGGGGTCCGTCGCGTACAGCCGGTCCGACGACGCCTCGCCCCAGGCCTTGAGCCAGACGCCGCGCGAGCTCGTCGCCGCGCCGCCACCGCCCCACTGCGGGGCGTCAAAGACGACGACCGCCTTCCCTCGGACGTCCGACATGAGGGTGTCCCGGCCGACCGCCTCGGATCGCACGAATGGCCCCAGCGGCGACGCCGCCATGAGCGACATGACCTGGTCCCGCATGGAAGCTGCCACATCAGCGTTGTCCTTCTGCCCGTTGTCGTCAAAGTGCAGCACTAAGGTCTCCCCAGGGTGGGCCGCCAGCCAGCCGCCCAGCTGATCAAAGAGCACCGCCGGCGTCGTGCGCGCGTTGGCGCAGAGGCCGTGGCCGAAAATCACGCGGCCGGCCCTGAGGTCCGCATCAATGTTGAGGACGCGCGCCCCCGCCGCGAGCTGCGAGAGCACCGGGGCCGCTTGGTTCGAGAACTGCCGCCGCAGCGGGCAGGCGAGCTCGCTGGCGATGGCGAGGCTGTTGTGGGTGCCCAGCCAGGTCGCGCTGCGGACGGGGACGCCGCAGAGGCCCGGGACGCCGTTGCATGCGGCTGCGGGGCGCATGCAGACGGCATGGGGGCGTGGGGTGGCGTGATCAGTGACAAGCGGCCTGTTTGGCGTGATCAGTGACAAGCGGCCTGGTGGGTGGCTGCAGTTGCAGTATGGTGGCAACCTGAGTTACTGCCGGAGATGGGCACATGTTGCTGGGTTATGATGCAGGCGGTTTTGAGCCAATTATGCCCCTGTTCTTGCACTCACATGGGTCATCCGCCGCAACCGCAGCCTGCAGTTGGCCAGCAATTAGGAGCAACACCACAGCAAGCGCATGGCGTGACCACGCCATGACTGCCGACGGGCTGGCCTGATGCAAAACGCACCCGTGGATGGCTCAGCTGCGCGCGTACAAGCATGCGTGCAAGTGGGGGGGCCATTGAAGATGGCACATACTGAGCTGCTGATGACACGAGGCACCCTGCTCTCCAGCCATTGAACACATGCAAAACCATGTATACAGGCCCAGACTAAACTGCAACTGAGTCACGTTGTGGTGCAGCATTGCATGCATATGGGCCTGTTCCACGGGCCCAGCTGCAGCAGCACAAAGCGGCGACCTGCCCGAGCGCCGTCAGGCGCAGCGCGTATGTTCTGCAACCGATACACGTTGCCATGCAGATAAAAGCTACCGTGAAATGCCTAGGCACGCACGGTAGCTGTGACTGAGAGGTGCTCGCGTCCCGACCTTTGCTTGGATTCAAGCGATGTTGCGGTGATTGTGAGGCACACGCGGATGCCTCGGAGCTACATAATCAAGCAAAATGCGAATTTAGAATCAAACCATCACACCAGAGGGTTGGCCGTCACACGGTCCGAGCGCCCTTGGTTCCTGCGGCAGCTGCTGCTCCAACCGCCCGGCTCCACTGGTCTGCAGCAGCGGGACCCAAGCTCGGCGCTCAAGACACGACAGGAGGCTTATGATATGTAGCGTAGTTAGACGTTACTGCAGAGCCACCATGAGCAATCAATGGAGGATCGAGACACGTTGGCACTGACAATTACAGCGAGTGCCTCATATCAAGGGTGAAGAGTGATCGCAATCGCCTGCTCATGAAGCAGCGACCACCAAAGGCCGCCCCACCGCGCGCGCGCCGGCAAGAGCACCTACACGCCCAACCCCAGCGCCAGCGCTGACGCCGGCGACGCCGATCACGGCGCCATCCCGGCGGCGCGTGGTCAGCCAGTGCAGGACGGGAGCCTGGAAGACCAGGAACGCCAGCACCGCCGTCGCCAGGGACTCCTGCATAATATTACAAAAAGACCAAAATGGCGGCGGCGTGCGGGTGCGTGCGAGTTCAGGGGCAACCTTTCGGCAGACAGGGGCTCAGGCGTGCAGGTGCAGTGACGTCACCCCCGTCAGCGATACGTTCAAGGGTGAGTTTGTACGAAGCATACGGCTCGGACGCCACTCGAGGAGACCTGCGGGACAAATGCACATCCGCCGTGACCCACGCAGATAAGCACGCGTCACGGCGCCGCACGTCGGGACACTTTACAATGGTAGCCAGCCGCCCACCTCAGGGACGTGGTAGATCTTGGCGGTGAAAAACATGTCGGCGGCTGTCAGCAGCGTCAGCAGCAGCGCCGCCACCAGGACCAGCGTCAGCCCCACCTCGCGCGCCGTCACGGCGCCGCGCCGCACGTGGCGCGCGGCGTCAGAGGCGATGCAGACGATCTTTGGCGGGAGGGCGGGAGAAAGGCGATGCAGGCGTGCAGGGCATGGGTCAGAACGGGCCAGTGGATGCATACACAGGTTCTTGCTGATGCCGCAGAGACATGCATGGTCAAAGTTGCATGATGTGTGGAGCAGACAGGTGGTGGGTTCGCGTGGCGGGCCAGGGCGCCGCGGTGTGCCGCAGGCCCACCTCTGCGTGGAGGCAGATGAGGATGGTGGCGCCAAGGAATATGTGGTCGCTCACGATGTGCACAGTCAGCAGCTTGGACTGCGGTTGCACGCATTTCAGATTGAAAGCGGCCGAGGGCGGGCGTCGCGCAGCCGAGATGGGGGCTTCAGATTCGTTGGCATGGTTGCACATAGCGCGCTTGCCAACATGCGTAGGAACCCGTCAACAACACACGCATGCGTGCAGGCGCTCTCTGTCTGTCTCTCTTCCTCTCTGTCTCCGTCTATCTCTTCCACTCACTCAGACATACACGCACACGCGCGAGAGCATGCGCTTACACACACGCGCGCACACACACACACACACACACAAGCGCAGGCTGATGCACCACCCCGTCCCATGCTGATGCATCCGCGCACACAAGCGCGCGCACCTCTAGCGCGCGGTAGTGCAGCAGGTAGACCACGCCTCGCGCCAGAGCAATTGCTGCATACAGCAGCAAGCAGTCCCACGCCAGCGTCGCCTGCAAACGTTGGTGCTGCTGCTGCTGCTGCTGCTGCTGCTGCTGCTGCTGCTGCTGCTGCTGCTGCTGCTGCTGCTGCTGCTGCTGCTGCTGCTGCTGCTGCTGCTGCTGCTGCTGCTGCTGCTGCTGCTGCTGCTGCCGCCCAGCCCTGGCAGCCGGCCGCGCGCGTATGCCGCCGCTGCCCCACCAATTCGTGGTGACCCAGATGCGCGCGAACAGGACGGCAAACGGCAGCGCTTGGCCGAAGGGCCGGAACACAGCAGAGTCGAACCAGAGCATCAGGTGATAAGCCTTCTTATGGCCAAACGGGAGGCCCTCGTGCAGCCAGACGCCCGCCAGGACGCACGCCCACCACGCCAGCAGCGGCAGCGAGAGCAGCGCCCAGAAAGCGGCCTCAGACTCGATCCGCAGCACCTGCTGCTGCGGCGCCCAGCGGGCCTGCCGGGCCGGGGCGCGCGGCTGCTGGGGCGGCTGCTGAGGTGGCGGCGGTGCTGATGCACCGTTGCCCGGCTGCGGCCGGGCGCGAAGCGCCTGGACGTCTGCTGATGCGGCTGTCGGTGCTGCTGCGGCGCCGTCCATACCTGCCGTGGAACTGTCTGGAGCAGCACACAACGTCCGCACGTGAGCCAAAGCGGAGTGATGATGGAGAGGATATCGATAGCCGTGTCTAACGCGCTCGGGCGCTCTGCTCGACCCGCCGCAAAAGAATCGGCCGGCCGCCGCCGCGCGCTGGATTGCGCGCGGTTGAGGCTTCCGGCGTCACGTGCAGGCGGTCCTGCCCGCTGCGCCTTGCTGGCTGCGGCTGCACGGCGCTGCCCTGGGGGCCGTGCCTAGCGCTCGTGGCGCGGCTGCAGCAGAAAGAAGTAGAGGAGCAGGAGCAGCAGCGCGCCGTTGACTGCCAGCACTGGCACAACGTACCTGAGGCGCATGCGACGGAGGGGCACACCCATGTTGGAGTAGCGCTGAGCAGGACAGCACGGCTGGAGCAAGCTCCAATGCATGCGGAGCAGCAGCACAGCGACGGTCTCAGGTCTATGCGTCCTGCGCCTCGTGCGCCCACGTACTGTGCGTATCAGTAGAACTCGCTCCACACGTGTTGCCAATCCACGCCCCAAGAAGACGCGACAGGAGGCTGCCGCCCGTGATCCGCGCTTGGCAGCAGTTGATCGCCAAGCTCCTCGTCTACGTTTCGCATGATTGTCGCAAATGCCAAGATGCAGGTGGTGGGGCGACTGGCAATGTGCCCAACGGCCTGCTGCGCTTGGTGGGTTGTAGCAGACTCACCGGCAGGGTCACTGCCAGGTCACCACGTCGGTGATGCCGCGCATGTTCGCAGTTGCCGCTGATGTCAGTCACTGGCAAGCAGACAACACCTAGAGACTGCTGACAAAATTGTACATCTGCCAAGCGCTCCTACCATGTATGTGTGCCACACGGTGCGTGATGAGTACGGGCGCTCCAGAAGTGGGTTTCCAAGGCCAGTTGCACGCCCCGACCCCCACCCCCCATCCCCCCATGCGGGTGGTTCCCCGTTGCGGCCGCTGCTGGTGCGCAGCTGCACGGGTTCATCACATGAGAGACGCAAAACTACCTGCTGCAGTTACTCGCCATATTCTACACATAACTGGGCTAGCGCCGCCAACCGGGCAACCCCCAGCCCTGGGCTTGCGCATTGATCTGTCGCGGCGCCAATGACTCAACTGAATGGCAGCCCTTGCTACCTCACACTCACGACTTGGGCTTCCTGACGCGCGCAAACGGGTTGCTGCCGCCCGCCGCCGGGCGGCTCGCCGCCGCTGCTGCTGTCGGGAAGCTCGGCTGCGGCGCCTGCGGCTTCTTGCCCGCACCCCCACTGCCCTTGCCGCCGCCGCCCCCGCCGCCCCGGTTGAAGATGCCCGCCATCGGCGCCGCCTTGCCGCCGCCCGCCG